AATTACAGAACTCTATGTTCATAGTTACTGAACTATATGTTCATAATTATAAAGATATATATGCATAATTTTTAACTTCATATTCACAATTATTGAATCTCTATATTCATATTACATAACTATATGTTCATAATTATGTTCACAACACTATGTTCATAATTATAGAACTATATATTCATAATTTTGAACTATATATTAATAATTATGAACAATTTTTAAACCGTGTCTACCTTGCAAGTGGACACAGATCCACAGCATAATTTGTCAGGTCAATAGTACTAAAATTAAAAAAAAAAAAAAACCTTTAGACTTCTCAATACTTGCTCACATTGATGGGCAAATAATTATATGTTTGTAAATGCTCCTCTTATATAGAGGAGTTTAAGAGCTCATTTTTCCAAACATTTTCAATGTGAAATCAAAATGATCCCACATCATTTACAAATGGGAGCCACCTTTGTCTTTTTTTTTTTTTTTTTTTTTTTTTTTTTTTTTTTAATTTTAATTTTATTTTGTATATAATTTTGTTTGGATTATTACATTTGTTCTTATTGTTGTTGTTGTTGTTGTTGTTATTATTATTATTATTATTATTATTATTATTATTATTATTATTGTTGTTGTTGTTGTTGTTGTTGTTATTATTATTGTTATTGTTTTAATTTTATTTTATTATTATTATTACATTATTACATAGGATTTTTATTATACTTGAACGATAATATTATCAATTATATTATAGAATATAATACCATACATAATATTACCAATTATGCAATATTATTAATTAATAGATTTTATTTAATTTCCATTTAACATTTACTTACCAAATAAGCTTTACTACAAAAGTTTGGGCAGGAAAATGAAATAGGATGATTTTGTTGTTGTTTTTTTTTTTTTTTTTTTGAAAAATAATGATTTTGTTTTTATATAATAATAATAATATAATAATAATAATAACAACAATAATAATAATAATACAATATATATATATATATATATATATATATATATATATATATATATAGATATAGATTAATTATTACCCTAATACTTAATTTATAATTCTGATTTTAAAATTCTTCTTAGTATTATTAACATTAACATTTGATTAGTTTTATATAAAAAAAAATTAATTCTAAATTTTGTATGAGTAAATTTAAACTCTGATCTAATTCGACGTATTTCATTATATGATTGTATAATTCATTGTATATACACATAATATTTATTAACATGTATATATAAAAATTATATAATATAATTTCATTGATTATAATTTATATTGATTGATTTATAATTAAAAAATTACATTTAAAAATTTAAAAAGTAGCATTTAAATTTTGCATGACTATTATAGTGCATAAGTGTATGTATGATTAGAAATATTCATGTTTTGTTAATTTAATAATTTTATTTCTTTACCAAGACTATGGGGTCTAATGGTACTCGGGTTAGACTTTCATTTGGAAAGTTGTAAGTTTGAGCCTCAATGGAGGTGTTACTACATTGTAATAGAGCCAATAGCGTTCAAAAAAATAATTATTTGTTTAATTATATTTCATATTTTATTAATTGTAATTTAATGAAATTGCTACAAATATTTCTATGGAAGAAATTTTATATTTCTCAATTTCATTAATTATATTAATTATAATTACCAAATATTGTGACAATTACCATAATAATTTCATTAATTATATTAATTATAATATGTGTACTAATCTCTTCCAAAATTTAAATACATTACCATAATAATCACACAAAAGAATGAAAAGAAAAATTATCAGAATAATTACCTTTAATAAAAATAAGGAAATTATATTAAAAATTAATTATATATTAAGGTAAGTATAATTTATTTCATACCAATAATATTATACATTAAGTATAAAAATATATGTGTATATAAATTATCATAATAATTACACCAAAACGATAACAATAAATAATTATTGGATAATAATATTAATAATTAATTATTAAGGCAAGTATAATTTATTTTGTACTAATAATATTATATATATATATATATATATATATATATATATATATACTTTTAATTTTATATTTATAATCATAGCCTATGTATATACTTTAGGAAAATATTCATTATTAAAGAGGGGATATAATTTTAAAAGTAAATTATTTATTAGATTACCTAATATAATTGTTTTACTAATTGATTCCATGCTACCACGTATAATTCATATATTTGAAATTTTTTTAAATCTAAATACCTATTAATTGAATAGTACTAAAAGTATTATTTTGAATTTTTATACATAAGATATAATATTATTAAATCGAAATAATTAAAAATAATGTGTCTATATTAGAAAAGATTTTATAATAGTAATTTTTATTGCCTAATAAAATTTTACAATTATTAAACATTGTTTATGGTAATTATTGTATGACATTTAAAAAAATTTTTATAATAGTAATTTTTATATGTATATAGGAAAGTCCTATAATATAATTTCATTAATTATAATTTATATTGATAGATTTATACTTAAAAATTATATTTAGAAATTTAAAGAGTATATGTATGTATATTTAGCATTCAAAAAAAAATATGTATGTATATTTAAAAAAATTATAAATATTCACGTTTTGTTAATTTTATAATTTCATTTCTTTAATTATATTTCATATTTTATTAATTATAATTTAATGAAATTTGTCACAAATATTTCTACGAAAGAAATCATATATTTCTCAATTTCATTAATTATATTAATTATAATTACCAAATATTGTGGCAATTACCACAATAATTTCATTAATTATAACATTTGTTTCCTTCCGATATTTAAATACATTACCATAAAATTACCATAATAATAACACAAAAGAAGGGAAGAAAAATTTTGAGAATAATCTATATCTATATATAATTAAAAGTAAAATCCTCCTAACCAAGTTTATCCCCAAAAATTAGGGGCATATATATATAAATTGCATATTTACCATATATGCATATTTTGTGTTTATATAGTATAATTTTTGGTATCAAACATTTGAATGGTAATAAACGGGGGAAAATGTCAACATACAAATGATAATTCTTTCATTACTATACTAATTTTAATGGTAATTCATTAATTACTATATTTCACGATGAGCCAGCCCGTTCATGCCCATCAATTTTCTAGAAACATACAAATGAAATAGTCAATTATTAAAATTGTTTATGATTTCGTTTTTTATTTTTTGTCTAAAGTTAAAGATATATATTTTCGGCGATTATAACAGTTTTTGTATTAACTGAAAATTTGAAAGTTTTACCTTTTTTTCGAGATCTCTTACAATTTTATAATTTCAATATTGTGCCATTTTGAACTCATCCATGGTGTATAAATACACTCTATATGACCATACAAAATCCATTGAGGAGACATTTGTACTCAAGAGTAAACTTCTCCTTAAACTAAATTCGGGTTTCAATAAGATCTCCGTTTTCATTCATAATGATATTCCTATTTCTGAGTCTCTCATCACCGTTCGGTACATCAATGATGTCTGGATTTCTGGGTCTTTCATTGTTCCCTTTGATCCTTATGATTGTGCCATTGCCAGTATTTTTTTTATTTGGGTTCAGTACAACCTGGATTTTTTTGGGAGGTTTCTCTAATTAAATTTTTGGTTAAAAATTTATATTTCCTTTATATTTTATTTTATTACTTTTTTATTTATTTATACTAATATGTGAATGGAGTAATACAAAATCTGAAATTGTATTTGCTATTTATTTCTTCTTTTTAAATAATCATTATTTTTGTGTTTTACAAAAATTTAGAAAAAATCAAATATAGCTAGATTTTTAATAGGTTAAACAAACACTTACTCAAGTTGTGATATATATATATATATATATATATATATATATATATATATATTATAAAAATGCTGTAAAATGAACTCTGCTTGTTAAAAAAAAAAATATAGAAACTTGAATGACATGTACAAATGTCGAAATCAACATACTAACTCTAAGTTTAAGAAAATATTACAAAATTATCAAAATTACCGTCTTTATCATCCTCGATCGCATCTCTACAATCTTCCATAAAAACTAAAGCAATATGGTTCTGCTACAAATGCTCTTCCTCCTCAATTTGCTTTTGTTGAAGCAGAGCCTCCTTAAGTATCTTCAAACTCATACCAGACGATATAAACTGCAAAACATATTGAAGTGCGTGAGAATAAGTTAGAAAAATGTAGAAAATTCATACAAAAAGAAAGCAGAGAGATGGGTTTGAGATTCTTTGATTGAAGAAGCCCTTGTATTTATAGGTAGAAAATACTAATTCAAATGGAAAGTATAATAATTTATTTATTTAAGGTAATAACATTATTATTATTATTATTAATATTATTATTATTATTATTATTATTATTATTATTATTATTATTATTATTATTATTATTATTATTATTATTATTATTATTATTTAATTTCCATTTGACATTTACTTACCAAATAAGTTTTACTACAAAAGTTTTGGAGGGAAAATTTGTTAAGAGGATTTTACTTTTATATATATATATATATATATATATATATATATATATATATATATATATATATATATATATATATATATATATATATATATATATATATATATAGATAGATTATTTAAATATATAATAAAAAAATTTAATCATATTTTTATTAATGTATTGTACTTGCCAAAATAATTACCTAATTAGTAATTACTAAACAAATATATTTTTACTATAAAGTGTCATTACATATTTAAGTCGAGAATGATACATTACAGAAAAATATATAATTTATGTGATTTTTGTCCAAAATTGCATCCAATGAATTGACAGGTGTATCAAATCTGTATCAGACCTTAAAAATGCATCATATACAATTTTCAATGCACATATATATATAAAATATATAACCAATCCATTATTGATTCTTTGCACACACACATAACACATTAGAACATAAACATAGGAGAGAAAGAAATTAAAAGATGATGATGCAGACAATATGGTTCCCTTTTGTTGTTGCTGTCGTTCTGTTCTTCAGTTTTGGAGTTATAGGAGGGGATTGGGAGGGTAGATCACAACTTAGTGGCATTAGCAGTGAGGTGTGGGCCCGGCAGGAGGCTGACCGGGTTACCGGCCTCCCCGACTCGCCTCCGGTGAATTTCCGGCAATATGCCGGATACGTCAGGGTGAGCCAGAAGCATGGGAGAGCACTTTTCTATTGGTTCTTTGAGGCCATGGAAAAGTCTGAGGATAAACCTCTCGTTTTATGGCTCAATGGAGGTAATTTAATTTCTAAACTTTAACAATATTATTCCCAATACCCTACATTGAAAAAAAAAATCTCAATACCCTTTTTTGATTTGATAATTATTTAATTTAACACTCCAAAATGTTACTACTAGTATTTATCAAATAGAATATTCGAGTAGAAAACAATTTATTAGGTATCTTAGAATTAGAAGAGTTTATGATTTACATCTTCCCAAATGCTCTTCGGGTCGGGGTGTGGGGGCCCTTAGGGTTGAAGTTCAGCCTTTTGGAAGAATTAGAAGAGTTTACACGTGCATCCAAATATTCTATTTCATTATTAATTATCTCCAGATTTTATAATTTTATTAAATTAAACAATTGTTAATTAATTATTAATTGTTCATAAGAACTAAACTTTGATCATAAGCTAGCCGGTCCTTTTCCAATTTTAGTATAATTACTATTATTCGTACCATGCATAAAGGTTTATAATTTTTTAATCGAATAATGGAGTTTTGACCTTAATTATTTCATCATATCAAAGTTGGCCGGTCCTTTTCCAATTTTAGTATAATTACTATTATTCATACCATGCATAAAGGTTTATAATTTTTTATTCGAATAATGGAGTTTTGACCTTAATTATTTCATCATTTTAGGGCCAGGATGTTCATCAGTAGGATATGGTCTTTTAGAGGAGTTGGGACCTTTCCTCTCACAGAAAGGGAAACCAGAGCTGAAGTTCAACAACCACTCTTGGAATACAGGTTCATATCATTATATACATTGCTTAATTTGGCTGAATTGACCTTCCAATCGTTTTAAATTTCGTCAATTAATTTTCCTAGCCACTATTCAGTCAGTTCACTGTTAGTTACCAAAATAGTTGCTAAGGAATTTATTAATCGACGAAATTTAAAACAATTGGAGGGTCAATTTGACCAGAATAAAAATTAGGGACTAAATTAACAATTGTAAAACAATTGATGGATCAAAACAGTGATTTTTCCTTTAAACAAATAGTCTTCAGGAGAACAACAAAAGTGATATGATCAATTGTTCTAACCTTTCGTTCAAAAGCAACTTGCCTAAAAATATAGGTTTAAATCCTAAATTTCAAAGCCTCTCATCACCTTGTCCTAGGTTGGATGAAAGGAGGTAAATTGTAAGATTTATCTTAGTGGCGCATGCATGGTCTACGTACTTGCTTTCATCCCTGAGATCTCATCATCCCCATTGAAAATGTGAACTTGAGTATTTGCTGAGACATTACTCCTACACCAAACTTTTTGACCATTGAGTTATTTTTCGATCACTAACGGTCCTAAAAATATGATACTAAAGGATGTTGGTCTTATTATTTTTCTCCAGCGGCCAATTTGCTATTTCTAGAGCAGCCTGTGGGTGTTGGATTTTCATACACAAACACCACCAGTGATATCGATCGACTAGGCGACAAATTTGCAGGTTAATTTCATAATGTTCATTTGTTGCAAAATTTCATTGCATTTAACATTATTCTTATAGAGCTGTTAATTGCATTTTCCCATGCAAAATATACATTTTTTTTTTTTTTTTTTTGGTGCACTGGAGGGGTTAACGCCCTAGAATTAATGGACTTTTCTAGTAGCAAAAATTCTCACAACCCTAGCTACTTAGCTATGATGTTTTTCAAGCCTTCGGGGATGATCCAGGATCGTAGTCCCCCGCCCACTATTTTGACCAAAAAAATCAACATTCAGAAAAACTTTTCTTTGAGAAGTTAATTAATTAATTATTTGCTTCCATAATAATAGTATTAATTTTAACATCCATTTTTATATGTTATTATAGCTCATGATTCATATAGGTTTCTACTCAAATGGTTTCAAAGATTCCCACAATTCAAGTCCCATGAATTCTACATTGCTGGCGAAAGTTATGCAGGTACGTACGGACAAACACTTTGGATTATGATCGATGAATATTTGAATTTACGGATCGGATGGGGTTATGATGATCTTATTTATTAAATAATTAATTACAATTAATAACCTTTTAATTGATATTGGCATGAAACTCATAAAATTGCCTGCACGTACTCTTGTAGGCCATTATGTTCCTCAACTCTCGGAACTTATCTATGACAAGAACAAAGTTGTTCCAAAGGTTGATCAAATAAACTTCAAGGGTCTACTGGTATGCATTTTGCATAAATTTTTCCTCTTCATCTTTTGTATTGTATTGTATTGTATAGCTTCATTATTATAATAGACGAGGTGGTTTTTTATATGCTCAAATAACTAACTTGATTGGTATGAGTGACAGTACATTACTATACCCTCATCCCTTAAAAGAGTTTGAGCCTCTTGTGCGAAATACCAATATGACTTGCATTTTGCTCCTTAGACTGAAATTACCCTTGCAATTTACTTATTTTCAAATTTTGGCGGAATTTTTCTTTTGATTTTAATTTTTTAAAGCCATATAAGCTTGAAAGCTTTCATATGGCAGCCTTTTATTGTATTTTTATATTTTTAGCCAAGTAGCTTGTAAATCAATGATATTTCTGTGACTTTCCCAAATGGGAGGTCACAGGTTTGGACTAATGGGGGTGACTCTTTATGCTTCAATAGGTTGAGAAAGTATGTATGGAACCACAATGAATATATGCTTCAATAGGTTTGAGAAAGTATGTACTCTTTTGTAGTTTAATTGGTTGAGAAAGTATGAATGAACAAATACTACATATTATTGATTAAAATAAAATTTAAGCATGAAGTGGCTTGGAATCCTTTAATCCTTTCAAGGAGTGTAAGTCTTGGAAAGTGTTGTAAAAGTACAATGCCATGAGTGAAGAGAGAATGAATGTAGAAAAAATAGTGAATGAATTATAAAATTTGATTATGTGAAAATAGGATCCGATTTTGAAATTGAGAAAGTATTGCACGGATAAACGTATAAAGATAACATTAATTGGGTCATTTGATACAATTATACAAATAGAGATTAGTCTAAGTCCAATACGAGTTTAAAATTGTCTGTTAGGACATATCTAACCAATAAATAAATAAATATGTAGATGATTGATGAAATGCATAATAATTATAACATAATATATTACAGATAGGGAACGCGCTGTTGGACGATGAAGCAGACCAAACAGGGATGATAGACTACGCATGGGATCACGCCATTATTTCCGACCGCCTCCGCGACGACATCAAAGCCGCCTGCAACTTCAGCGCCACCACCTCTTCCGCCGAATGCGACGCCCAGCTTAACAACTATTACGCCCTTTACGACATTATTGATATGTACAGCTTGTACACCCCAACCTGTGTCCGCACAAACAGCACCGCCACGAAGAACTCGGTTCCTGTCGTACGAGGAATCGCTCCTCACCTTTTCTCCAAAATGGTCATTCATTCATTCATATATTCTCCATCAAAAGATATATAGTAGCTTATTAGCTAATATATTAATTTGGATATATATATATATATGTAGGCTGGATGGCACAAGAAACCATCAGGTTACGACCCATGTGCACCTGATTATACAGAAGCATATCTCAACAGACCGGACGTCCAGAAGGCACTTCATGCCAACGTAACTGGGATTTCCTATCCATGGATTCATTGCAGGTACTATATATACATAAATCCTATGTAAAAAAAAGATTTTTTTTTTTTTTTTTTTTTTTTTTTTTTTTTTGCCTGCATGGCTTAACTCAATAGCAATAATATGGGGAATATGCCCACTTTGGGCAGGGAGACAATGGGAATTATATATGTTTTTTTTTTTTTTTGTTTTTTTTGTTTTTGACATGGGAATTATATATGCTCAAAGTTGGCTAATCCCTACCAAGGTAGTGTAGGGATTGTTTTTGTTATCAATTATACTACATTATTCATTAGGGCAAATTATTGTGTGGTCTCTTGATCCAAAAACATTGTCGTGAATATTTCATTATTTTGAGTAAACATAATGTACATCACGTTTTAGAATAATGTACATACGTATTAGAATAATGTATATTATGTTTTTGAATAATGTATGTTGCAGTTGAGTGTGAAAAAAAAATAAAATTAAATAAAACAACATCATATTTAGACTATAGTCCACACAGCTGCATGGTCACACAATAACTATTGATTCATTATTACTGGTCCTTTTAATACCTAGCTCAGTTCTTTGAAGTTGTAAATGTCATTCCATCTTCATCAAAATATAGTAATTTCTATCGCTTAACAGGTAGAGCCTTCTTTGCATTCAGAAACTAAACCTTTTTTTTTTTTTTTTTTTAAATTAATTTTCTTACATTTTAAAAAGAAAACAAATCCTTAAGACTATTTCTCAATTTGTTCTATCAACCCTGAACTGGTAACACCATTTTTTGCAGCGGCATTATCAGTAAATGGAAAGATGCACCAACTACCATTCTTCCTATTATCAGAAAACTTTCAGCAGCGGGTTTGCGCATTTGGGTTTACAGGTATTACGGCTAGAATATACTATTACTCATAAAATAATAATAATAAAAGATTAGATATTACATAATAATATGTTAATATTATTGAATAATGTTACAGTTATAATTATGACCATCACATATATATATGATTTCTTTTTAAAAATCCTTTTTGGGTGTAAACTAGCAAGTACAATGTTTGGTATATGTAAGACATCATAAAAACTATCATTATTTTTGGGTGACGAGAGAAACCTGTAACCACTCACCGAGAATGTGCACGGGATAAACCCACTTTGTGACACTAACTAACTGATAAAGAACCACAAGAAAGTAAACCAACCTAGGTTATCTATAGTTGAACGGCTCAAACCAAAAAAAGTTGGGATTTGAACTCTTGACTATGTAGTTACAAGTTTGTATTCTTAGTCCTCTTGGCTATGGTTACCTCCCACTATTGTTATTTTTAATCCCTACTGTGTTGTGATATGTATGAAAAAACAGTGGAGATAATGATGGAAATGTACCAGTAACTTCAACCAGGTATAGTCTCAAAAAACTTGGGTTCAATATCACTGAAGATTGGACTCCATGGTACACTGATAATCAACAGGTAAATAAATTTTATACCTATAACTACTTACTTTCTATTTCAATATTGCTAGCATGCATATATGGTAAACTACTTGTTCATTTTTCCATTTGTTTTTTTTTTTGGCTTCTTTTTGTTTCGATCTCATGGATCAACTAATTTATAAAATGTATATATATTAACTTTATTCTTTTTTTTTTTTTTAATTTTATTTTTAATTTTGCTTAGGTTGGGGGGTGGACAATTGTTTACGAAGGACTAATGTATGTGACGGTTAGAGGAGCAGGGCATATGGTTCCAACTTTCAAGCCAAGGGAAGCACTTCAGCTAGTTACCCACTTTTTGGCCAATAAAAAATTGCCATCCTCATCATATTGATTTATTTATTTTATTTTTTAATAATTTGATCATATTAAATTAAATTAAATGTTTCTAACAAAAGATCTTGTAGTCAAGCGGCGTAATTGTTGTCAACAAATAGAATAGTTTCATCAAACACCTAACAAAAAGACATGGAAACAGTACAACAAATGAAATGTATTTAGCAAAGTAGTTTTGTTAGTCTTTTTAATTTCCAAGTTTTAAAAGTTATATCAATCTCATATCATTTTTGCCTAGATGATAAATATTATTGGGTGTAGGAAACATTCCAATGAGAATATTGAAATGAAGGAGAGGGGACTTGGATGGTTAATTATAAAAGTGATCTAGACAAGGCATCAGGTTCACACTCTTGGGAGGCAAAAATTTGTGTCAAACTCTCTCTCGGATCTATATCTGTGAGACGAGACGAATTGTAGATAACTGAGTGTGTAAGTATTATAATTTCGGTTATAAGTATAACAATATTTATTATTAGTAACAATCAATTTTTATCTTAAATAGTATCACAATTTTACATATAAGTATTACAATATCTATCAAAAGTAACGATTTATTTTTAATTCAAATTGGTATTAAATTTTCTACAATAAGTATTACAATTTCTTTCATAAATAACATTTCACATATAAGTATTCCAATATTTACATTAGAATTAAAATGTTTAAGTATCCCAATTTCAATTATAGGTATTACAATATTTATCATTAGTACCAATCATTTTGCCCTAAATAATATCACAATTATATATATATATATATATATATATATATATATATATATATATATATATATATTGTTGGTCCCGATAGAATGAGATGAGAGTCTAGAGAGGGGGGGGGGGGGTGAATAGACTCTTTTCGTTAGAAGCCCTAAACGTCACCTTTCGGTGTCTTGGCGCAGCGGATAAGATAGATTTGTTTTAGATACTTTGCACGAGTTTGCGTAATTTAGACAAACCTTCGGTAACGATAATAAAGGAATGATATGAGAGCAAAAAGAAAAGCGTAAGTAAAGAGATAGAGAGGACACGCGATTTTATAGTGGTTCAGCCAATGTTGCCTACTCCACTCTTCTTCCACAACTGTTGGAAGGATTGCACTATCACTCTTAGTACAAATACACAAAGACTTCCTTGATCACTAAGCCGGACAGCCTTCGTAGGTTTTTCAACTCCTCGAGTTTACTCCGCCTCTATCAACTTCTTCTCCTAAGTTGAGGTTAGTAGAAAATGATTTCTTGAACTCTCCAACGATGAGGTCTTGACTCTGAGATATGATTGCTTCAAATAAATGTCAAGACTTCCTTGAGGTGTAATACAAAAGAATCTTCAAGTAGCTTAACACCTCAAAACTGGTCCACAAAAGCTTTTAGTAAATTGTAGACTTTTCAAGAGCTTTTGTAAGTGAGTAAGTTGAGTGATAATGAACCAGCACCTTCTTAGTTGATGAAGGTGAGTTTATATAGGTGATGAAAATCCATCCGTTGGAGGGAGATGAAATTTTCGAACCTTTTAACCAGTGGACAAGGACCGGGGAGCTTCATGCATTAAATGCTCCATTAATGAGGTTGTACCATGTAGCCGTTGAAGGTATGGAAAGCATTGGGGTTTTGTCCTTTAGCTCCAAGAGATGGTACATCTTCATTTAATGCTTCTTGAAAAGTGTGTCCCATAAGATGAAGTCCTTATTGTCCTAGGATGTTGTCAAATCAGACAGGTGAATCATTCTTCTCGTTGTTGAAGAGAAGTAATGCTTGATAAAGATCGTCTTTCACCAACACTGTCCTTTCGTGCTTGTTGACAACTCCTGCTTGATTCTCGTTGTTGTTCTTCATGTCTCGTGTCTTCTTTCGCCTTGGAGACCCTAACATTTAGTCATAACTCATTTTCGTGTGTTTGTCTAGCTTAACTCGAATTACAGAGGAGTTATGGCAACTTTCGTCTAGGACGAAATCAACGATTAAAAAAGCTAATGGTTAGGGGTTTACTTTTCTACATTACATTGGTATCATCAAAATCCTAATACAATGTTCCTAACAATTTCCCCCTTTTTGATGATGCCAAAACCTATACTCTTCTTATAAGGCTGATAAAAGTTCCATAAGGATTTTTTCTATTATAAAAACAGCCATACTTGAGAGTTTATAAGTCTTTTTTCTAGATTAAAGCGTTAATAAGCGAGACAAGGACAGGTGACTCAAACAAGTGACACGAGATGTGTGACAATGAGAGTTTCATATATAAAGATGTAATCATTACAAAAAACTTTGTAAAGAGAAACATAACGAAAGTTAACTTACACTTCTAAAAGCTTTGATTTCTGTTGTTCAGCTTCCTTGAGTTCTTGGTCATTCCTTTCCTTTTGTTGCTTTAGCATCCTGTTGAAGTCAATTTTCTCATTGATTTTTGCTCTGAAAACTTTAATAGGATTAGTCCTGACAAGCTCTTCATGTTCTCCTTTGATGTTCAGACCAGTGTAATTGTTGTAGGCTTCCCGAATGTTGCTTCCTTCAACAATACCATACTTCCACCACGAGATCAGTTCAAACGAATTCATGCCTTCTTGGTAGCTCTTTCCCGATTCCTTGTGCACTTTGAAAGCTGCATTATGCATGACATTTTGTGGGGAGTCTTTGGTTACATTAGAGAGGTCTTCAATGAGGTTCCTGATCCTTTCTCTTTCCATTGCTTCATCTTCTCTTCTCTTTCTTTCTTCATCGTGCTTCCTCCACAGTTCTTTGTTTGCTCTTTTGATTCTCTCATTTTGAGTGCTCATGTGATTTTGTCTTGTATAATTGTCTTTTGTTTTCAACCAAATGGGATTATTGCAACCCTCGAATCGTTTGCCACTGCCTTCTTCATATGGGACAAAGTCCACAAAGTTTCCTATGCCATCCATAGTTACTTTGTTGTCTCTCATAAGTTTCTGCATTAATTTCATCTGTTCTCTCTTTGGCAGTCCTGTGAAGATGTATTTGGCTTCAGAACCAAATGATTGTCGAGGCTTAATTTGTTTGGAGGATTGGTATCGACCATGATATCTTGACTTTGAGGAGTGATAACCACGAGACTTAGAAGGTGGATGAGATGGATTCGTGTTCCTTTGGTCTAGTCTCTTGGTGTCCGAGAGGGAGACACTAGTACAAAATTGAACATAGAAGATTGACCATAGGCCACCATTGTTGAAAGAAAGGTTGCCTAATCTTAGCCCAAAAATTCGCGGTGGCAATTTTGTAAATAAGTGATCAATAATCCACCACCATTGTTAGCTGTAATGGTTGCCCATTGTATTTTGTATTTATTTAAAAAACAATTGATTTATAATAGGCAACCATTTCTAATAGAAATGGTTGCCTTAAAATAAGACTTGTTTGGTAATAGGCAACTATTCCTAATAGAAATGATTGTCTAAAATTAACCCTAGATCTACATACCCATCATCGAACGAATTGAATCAGATCAGAACGTACGATTGAAGCTATCATACTCATAACCCGCCATAGATTGAAGCTACCAAACATATGATTGAAGCTCGCCGATCTGCTCGTACCCAACGATCATCTCCCCATCATCAATCAGAACGTACGATTGAAGCTACCGAACGTACGATCATCTCCCCATCATCGATCTGCTCTCGCCCGGCGACCCACCGCCACCTCGCCGATCTGCTCTCGCCCGGCGACCCACCGCCACCGCGACGCACCGCCACACGCACAGCACCACGTTCACCGTCGCACGCCCCCACCGTCGCATCATCATCATCATCGATCTGCTCTCGCCCGGCGACCCACATCAGAGCACCTGTTAACCTCGTTCGTTTATCTTCTCCCTCTGCTCTTTTTGTGCTTCAGTGCTTGATTGCATTTGATTTTTAGTTGGATTTGTGTATATCGGTGTTTGAGTTTGTGGATAGAGGATAGATCCACTTCTCTCTCTATAGGCTAAATGTTGTTGATGAATTTTTTCTTTTTTCCGCAATGTTCAGTTCTGATTCGTGAATTTTCGGATGATTTGTTGATTTCATTCCACATCTCTAGCAATTTCAGACTTTTGACTGGTTGTATGACTGTTCAATTTCTAGTTTTCAGTTAGATTTGTGTTGTATGACTGTTCAACTTTAGCATCTACTTAACCCAATGTTTGCTTCCATTTTTGTGTTTATGATGAGATTTTCTCACAAATGGAGTGCATATTAAGAATGGAAACAGGATGGTAAAATGTGTGAATGAATAGAAGCTGTTTGATTTATGGACTGTAACTTGGTCTGACCATCATTCATGTGTTTTTTGTTCCTTGTAGATACTTGCAAAAATTTTAAAAACTCAGTTTACTTCTGTAATGCACTTTGACTACTGAAATTAGAGAAGTACATGATTTCATTCATTCTGTACACCGAATAATCTGTTAGTGCACTATTTCACTATTGATAGACTGGAAACGAGTTTAAATTTCTGTATTATTTTCAGTTAGTGCAGTTATTGCTGGTCCAGGAGGAGGTGTCTTCATATCAGATCCAAAGAAGCCAGCAGGAGGGCATGTACTTGCTCATGCTGCAACAATAAGGCTAATGTTCAGGAAGGGAAAAGGAGAACAGCGCGTATGCAAGGTGTCTGATGCACTAAATCTTCCCGAGAGTGAAGCAATATCCTTTCACTGTTAAATGTTTACTTCTGAATTTTCTTACAAGGGTATCATAATTAAGTTAAGTCCATCACACCAAATTGATGCCACAAATCAGTTCATGAACAAAATGATGCACCAAATTGCATACGAAGCATTGAACAAAATGGCTGCACAGCAAGGTATCTCTGAACCATACGACGAATTCCCTCTAATTTTCAACGAACAAGATACTAGCAGTCCTATGTAATATATGCAGAAGGCATGAAAAACCATTGTGCCTCACCAAATGTTTCTCTCATCTGGTACGCTCTCTCGTATGCCTCTTAAGTGTAAGTGTTGTAATGTAATGTCCTTTTTACTATCGGGTTTTGAAAATATGTCTGTTACTATGGCTGTATACCATGATTTAGTTCATAAACCTTCCTTTTGTCAAGTACTTGTTGGATCAAAAGAACTGCTGTAACTTATTATCCTTGCATTTCTTTTCTGTAGGTTGCTTAATTAAGTGCTGAAAATTTCATTTCAATTGTTTTTTAACTCTCTAGAATGCTCAACTTTCTGCTCTGCGTGTTGGTTTCAGTCATTTAATTCGCAACCATATGTGTTTTTAGCTCTTTAGGATCATAAAACTGGAAGATTGCAGCAAGCTTTGGCTTCGAGCACGAGACATGGGTGAGCTTTGACGAGGAGAACCGTCGAAGATTCGACCGTCTCCGTTCAGGTGTTTCCAACATTATTCATATTTAGTGCCGTTAATACTTCAATACAAGACATATGAGCTAACAACATTTTCCTTCTTTTTTTCCTCAACTCCTATTCTTTATTTCTGCCTAGAAATATTGCCAGATTAAGACAATGCAGTGTTAAAGAGACTTGAAAATACTGATGGTTTCATAATAACAATGAACAAGACATAAGGATATATATTCCTCTTTTGGTCCCTATCTTTTATCTTCTTTGACATTATGACACCTATAACGCCAAGCTTGGCTGTTTATGGTCCCTCAATATGAAGTTAGCCACTCTGTTCCATTCTTTATTGATGCCATTAATATGCAAGTCATTATCTGTAGAGAAGTCTTGTGTAAAATTATTAAGTTTCTTGATGGTTTCATTGCTTTTTCTGATTAAGAATAACATTTTTATCATCTGAATAGATTATGAAGAGATTATGATGACTACCTCACGTGACTTGGTTGTTTAACAGGCAGTTCTTGAAAAGCAAAGTTATATGCTCATTGGAAGATTGAAAATCTAATGCTACTTTCCAGCTAGTGCATGTTTACCCAGTTCTCTTGGTTATGCAAGCTCAGAAAATACTACTGCTTCTAGTGCTGAGGATTCGGAGGTTGAGATGGAAATAAGTGATGTATTACTGAAGTTGAGGCCAATCAAACAAGTATATTTTAAGGCCATTTCATGAATTATAAGTGTATGCTCTTGGGACCTTTGGCACCCAATAAAACCTCGTTTATATGAGCTAACGTACTTGAGGAAGCTTGCTCGTCCTTTGCCAACTCATTTTGTGCTCGGTATTTTGTTCTTGCTTTTATAATTTGTGGCGTCTCATGTTCGAGTCTGACTATTTTATTTCCATGTAACCTCAGGGATAAATAGAGAACTCTAAGGATTGACTGAAGCAGTGCTTAAATTGTGGGAGAAATGTCATATAGCAAAAATTGCTTTGAAATGGGGAGTCCCAAACACAGACAATGAGCAAATGGCAAGCGAACTCAAGGTAAGCGTTCTCCTTGTGGTAGTTTTTATGTGAGTATAGTTTTTATATCTCATGACAAAATATTCATCTGTTGATAATTTGGATGAGGTAAGTGGATTTAAATAGAACTATGTATAGTTAAGTTATATTTTATTAATTAACAAATTTAATAATTTTATTAATTTAATTTTTTGTAGGCATTTGAAAGCGATAGTCCGTATTCTATCGACAACATAAATGAGCTTCGAGAGCATTGGTCAAAGTTCTTCTTTTCCGAGTGCTTATAAGTTTTATTTTATTTATAAAAAGTATTTTGTTTTTGATAATAGTATTGAGTTGGGCATGTTTTGATCTAATTGTATTAAAGTATGAGGATTTTAAGTGCTATATATTGTATTTTGACGATAGTATATTTGCATTGTGTTTAATTTGATGATATATAGCATTTGCATTGTGTATGTGTTAAGGTATTGTTTTAAAGTGTGTTGATAGATAAATTGTATTGTGGAGTAATGTTGATAGGATTTGAATAATAAGCTGTACCTAGTACAGGAATTATAAAAAAATTAGGGATTTTAATTTAATTAAATAAATAATTAAAAATTAAAAGTCATCCGCGACCATTCCTAGCCAAAAATGGTCGCGGATGACTTATTCGAATTAAAAAACAAAATACAATACGCGACCGTTCTTTGTTAAGAACGGTCGCGTATTACTAACAATGCGCAACCATTTCACAATGGTCGCGTAAAGTCGATGCCTTTAGGTGAGCCTCTCATAGGCAACCATTGTACAATGGTTGCATATTGTCTTTTACAATGGTTGTCTATCTGCAATTTTGTACTAGTGAGAGTGTCGTGCTTCACGAGCTTGATCTTTCGTGCTATCTCTCGGCTGGTCATCATCCTTATCTTTGTCATCATTTCTCTTTTCCCCCTTTTTGGCACCATCAACACAGGTGGTAGAAGGAATGGAGGAGACCTTGTTGATTGCAAGCAAGATATCCTGAGCATACCCCAGAATTTGAAGTGCATATTCGCCCAGTTGGTACGAATTGTCCTGATATGTGTCAATCTTTGTACAGGCCAAATCCACACGCTCTTTGAGTCCAAAATGAGAGTGTTTGATTTCGTGCTGTTGTCGCACAACTTTGTTCAGAGAAGCTTCGAGATCATAAAGTTTCTTTGTCATTCGCTCAAGGAGCTTGTGATCTGATTGGCTTTGTTGCTGCGGTTGAGACTGTGCTGGAGGTGGAGATCGAGGTTTAGATTGTGCTGCTATCAGAAAATCGACCTTCTTGCATAGATCATCCATAACTTTCGTGTCCTTTTCTCGTAAAGCAAGATATTGCCTATGGATGGTCTCGGCTGAATGAACAGTTCCTCGCATGAGGTTCATGATAGTCCGTGGGGACTCTGCAGGGGATTCTTCCTCAATGTTTGTTGGTGATGTGTCCATGTGATCATCTTGAGGTGGTGCTTCCCGTTTTCCACCACTAGCAGAGCTAAGAAGAACTGGTGAAGCTTCCAGTGTGCCCTCACGCATACTTTCCTTTCCTTGCTTGATTGGAGTCTCGTCTATGGGTTGGATATGCGGGACAATGCCACGAGACAGATCTTCGAGATGGGAAGTTGAAACTTCTTCCGAGTCATCACTGTCAGATGGTAGACTTCTTAAGGGAGATCTTTGAGGGTAGGTGTCATAGTCAGGATCGATCAAGATTGTATGACTATCTTCGGGGTCGGTTTCTTGATCACCTTCATCACCCAACTGATCATCATTATCATCATCATCATCATCATCATCATCATTGTCTTCATCATCAGCATCGTGAACATCATCATTATTATCATCTTCATCTTCATCTTCATCTGCATCACTCTCGTCTTCTTCAATCTCTCGTCCAAGCTCATCTTTCGTGCCACTGACATTACAATTTGGATCATTTTGGTGTTCTTTCTCTAAAGTGGTCTTGATCTTTGAAAGCAACATGGCATATCGAAGTTGCTTCATTTCTTCTTCATAAACTGGATCCAAGGGTGGCTTGTTGAGCTCGATGCAGATTGGAGCTTTATCTCTCCCGAGAGTGCGATTTGTCATCTTGTAAGAGAGAACGCGATTGATTTCTTCAATTCGAAGAGCTTGTGAAACATCCTCAGTGCCAATCCATGCAAGTGCAAAGTCTTCTTCATCCTGCATTGCTTCAAAAGTTTCAAGAAAGGTCCGTAGAGGAGCAGTGCGCCATTTTTGCCATTGCAGAACTCGTGTGTAATCCCTTTCAATGGATTCTCTAAGCGACTGATCTAGTGAACGGCGGGAAACCTTTACTTCAGGAGCTGGAGCTGAAGGTTTTGGTATATCCGGAGAAGCTACTTGCACAACGGCTGCCTCGTCTACCAACACAGGTTCTTGTGTCAGAATTACCTGCTCTGTATTGGTAGGTTCTTGTGGTAAACAAGGCACAGATATCAGAGCATCAGTCGCCTCTTTCGTCTTTTCTGGTGACCCAGGTTCTTGTGGAAGACTTAAGCGACTGGCCTCCATGTCTACATTAGCAGGTTCTTGTGTCAGCTCTCGAAGGAGTTGATCTGCCAAAGTAGGTTCTTGTGGATGGTGGTCTTGAGGAGAACCGAGATCAGACTTGGGTTCTTGATCATCAGGAAATTTCTCAGGAAGAACATCTTTCGGTTGAGCTTCCCCCTCAGAAAGTGCTTCATTCGTGATTATTTCCCCCTGTGGGGATGCATCTTTCGTGTCTTCTTCTTTCGGTGTAGAAGATTCCTCCGGGAAAGATTTCGCCTTGACGGGAGACCGAAAGTGACTCTTCTTGATAGTTCTGGAGAGAATCAAATTATCTTCGTCTTCGGATGAGTCTTTGACAATGATTTTTTCTGGTAGAGGGGAGGATGGAATAGGATCTTTCTTCTCTTGTGGAGATTTTGAGGGGATTGGAACAGTTGAAGTTTCTTCTGCCTTTTTCGTCTTACTCCGAGAGGAGTGCTTTTCTCGTTTTTTGTCGTTTCGGCTTGGGTTGATCATCTTCTGAAACCCTAGGTGTTCTTGATTTCCTCTTGGCTTTGACTTGCTCAATAGGGATTCCCAACTCCAGCGCCTTCTGCTTGTCATACCCCGACGGTTTTTGTTTCATGTGACATGCTTTCAGTCCAGGCCGAATTCTTGGGCGCAGAACGACTCCTTTCGTTGCCAGAAGATGGCTTATCACAAAACCATATCCTAACTTCTTCGCAATGTCTCCTGGACTTTTTCGATGAAAGGTGATGGTGTGAACAATATTGTTGAATATGATCTTCGACCAATCAACTTTAAAACCATTCAAGAAAGCATGCAGCATTTTCAACTTCTCCTTCGTTACATCATCAGTGCCTGAGGTCTTGTGATCGACAAGTTTATTGAAGATATCAACAGTGAACTCATAATCCAGCCGGAACCATTTCTTCTTCAACGGCCATGTGATTTCTGCCTTGGATGGTGTGTGATTGTTCTTGATGGATTCGTAGAAATCCTCCGGGTCGAGATGATAGTAGATAATATCTGTCTTGTAAGACTCATCTCTTTGTGGAAACCCGTAAGTTGACCGAACGTCATCCGAGGTAAGGACCACATGATGATTATTGACTCTGGAAGTGATAGTCAAATAATCAGAAGATATTGAAGCATTCATATAAAACTGGGTTACATCAAACGGGTGCCAAATAGTATAGAGGTGTGTGATGAAGCTATATAGTCCTGTTTCTGTGAGGAGATGTATGATGTTTTCACCAAATTTCCTATCCAGGATATACTCAAGGAATCCATGTGCGTCCCACATATTTCCCCCTACGATGAAGGGTACTCTGGATTCAATGAATCTCAGGTCCTCAGTTGGAAAGCTTGGGACTTCCAAGATGGAAGGAGTTTCTGGTTCGGGATTAGATGGTGATGCTTGTGGATGTTCTGCCATAGTTGAGGATTTGAGAGAGACAGAGGGTTAGAAAGAATGAGAGTGAGAAAGGTAGGGTAAATAGATCAAAAAGGTTTAAGAGGGTTTTATAGATCTCCGGGTATGGATGATCCATTTTAGAGGTGAAAGGTTTAAAATTCAAAACACTCCCGGTTTTTCTTCTCCAAAAGGTAACTGATCATCATGGGGGAGTGATAAGATCGTGTGCAGATCAAAAACGATCATTCCCTCATTTAATGAGGTGAGAGAAAATCACTCGAGTGCTTATTGGTGCATTAAATGCACGTCACATCATGTATCAGACAGAGTGGGGGAGTGGACCACTTTTTTCGGCCACATGATCCCACTAGGATTCATCTGAACGGTTGGAAATAAAAGCTAAAAGCATTAAGCATGTTTAGACATGATTCCAAACCCGAAGGAAGATAAAGGTTTCATAACATCAGACTTGTAAAACAGATAAAAGTCGAACAAGTCGTTTTTACATCAACAGAAATGCCTTTCCCGAGAGAATTATTACACAGAACAATACGGAACATAAACAATTACAATCTCTCGTGAATTTGAAGGCAGACTTCCCTTCTACACATTGCAACCCTTCTTCTTTCGTTCGTACTCAAGGTATTCCCTCTTTCGGATCTCATGAGCAAAGACTTCAGCAATGAGGATCTCATGATCTGCTCCCAAGGTTTCTCTAGAGAGACCTCGTCTCTCCATTTCATTTAGTTTAGCCATTACCTTGGCCTTAGCAAAAGAGTATAGTGCACGATATCTTTCTTCGTGCTTTAGAAGAGGGGTAAGTTCAACAAGAGAGTAGAACTCTGAGATTTCAGGTTCTTTCTCAGATGATGAACCTTTCTCAACCAAGTTCCCGAGATTGCGGTGAGACATTTTTCCAGTCTCAGATAAGCTCTTGGATGAGAGTATCTTTTCTTTCCCTTTATCCATGAGTTGAAGAAAGAGATGAGTGAGTTCATAGTAGATTGAGAGAGTCCATTAAATAGATAGACCGAACCTCTCAAAAGGTGTATCCAACTGTCTTAACCAAGACACTGTTTAGGGAATATATTCTTTTTCAAGAATTTTGTCCTTGATTCGAGATTATTAGATAGGTGATAGATAGGACATATAAAGTCTCGATCAAAGGAAACCAGAGCTAGTTAAGTTTTATTCATCATAGACCCGAGAGAAGAAAGTACATAGGATAAGATACAACACACAAAAGATCAAATTTTCTTCCTCTCGTTTTTCTTGACTCCAGATGGTTCACCTTTGCCCTTTTTCAAATCTCCCAGCATTTGCTTGAACCATTTCCCGGTTTGTGGGTAGTTTGAGCCAGAAGAGGATTCAGGTTCTTCCTCCTGATCATATTTCTCCATTAAGTCTTCTTGTGCCAGAAAAGCCATATAGTCTGGGTCTGGAATCTTGGTAGGATCTTTCGAAGTCTTCTCTTCACTTTCAACAATGAAACCCGCCATATCATCATACTTAAGAGACGAGTCAGAGTCAGAAGGAATTTCCACCGGTGCTTGTGGACTGTTACCAGGGTAGAGTTCACCCTGTTCCTCTCTGAGACGTCTGGCACTTTCTTTCAGCTTATGGGAATCACCTCTGGTGAAAGGTTTCTTTGGAGCCATGGTAAAGAAAAGAAGGATGAGTGTAATGTAAAGAATTCACCTCCTTTTATAGCAAGAAATCCACATAGCTCATGTGTCTGTTACACATTAATTTCAACGTTACAATTAATGCTCATAACTGTAGTCAATGAGTCATTAATTCCAAGCAGGACTTTGACTGTTAACTTGTTTCTTTATGAAACTCCAACTTTAATGATCCCTTTTTTTTTTAAATGTAACACATAAAATTATGGCTCTTTTGATTGGAAAATGTATGAGTGATGAGCTTCCCTGTGATTTAGACAAGTAACATATAAAGTTAGGCATAGACAAGATAAGCAGTCATTCTAAGTACGAAAGGATAGCATTTTTATTAGATCACGAGGATTCCAGGTCACGAGAGTACAACATACAAAGGCTTAGAGAAAACGATAAGGCACGTGAAGTTCCAGACGAGTCATCTCTTCGGTCACATCAGTCAGATTTGCCACCTCTGCATATTCATCCAACTCCTCAAGTGAGAGAGTGGGTTCGGGTGACTGAGTTAAGGGCCGAGAGTGAACCATAGTGACATCTTCAGAAGATTGTTCACTAGGTTGAGGAACTTCATAAGATGTTTGCTCATTAGAAATTTTCATCATCAGAATTCTCTCTTTAGCAAGCCGAGTGGCTTGTTCCATGCAAGCCTTCTTAGCCCTGGACTCGCTGACCAATTTGTTATGAGTTCCCTTGTCCTTTGGTGCTGTGTTGGGCATGGAGTAGGTTACGATGACCCTTTCCCCATCTTCTTCAAGCCTTAAGATGGTAGCATTCGGAAGCTTGTTGGCTTCTTGCATATGATGTTTTAGACGTTTGGCCCTTTTTTCAGCTTCGTCGCTCTTTTCCTTCCCCTTATCCATTCCTGCAATCTTTATCCTTCTCTACGATCTTGTGAATGAGTAAAGCTCATAAAATAGAAGAATAATATATAGGAAAAAGATAACGTGCGAATCTTAACAAAATCTTTTAGATACTGACATCATATTTGCATGATAGAGTTATAAACTAAAAAGATCATGAACAAGATAACATCACAATTTGTCACCGTGGCCTAACAAAGCTATTCAAGCTTTCTTTTTCTTGCTGCTTGCGGTGGACTTGAGAGGAGATGCTATCTTTGGTGGGGGTGCCTGAGGGTGAGTAGTCAAAACTATCGCTTAGTTCCAGCACACTGTTTTCTTTGTTATATCCAATGGGGTTGCCAACAGAGTGGAAGGATTCTCGTGACTCATTATCGGACGTGTCACGGAGAAGGTTTCGTATGTGTTGAGCGTGTTCAAGGAACTGATTAAGCTGTTGCTCAGTTACTAGTGGCTCACTGAGAACTTCACTCTTTCCTTCTCGTGCCTCCGTAATGGTTCTTTCGCTTCCCGTACTCATTCCTGCACATGCAAAAACAAACACTAGAATTTTCATTAGATGAGAAATTTATTCTCATAGTGTACTTCATTTATAAAGATCCTTGCGTGTGAGGATGAATCAAATCTTTTGATTTTCAAGAGCAAGAATCTTTACAGATCTGATTCTCTTAGCTTTATGTCATTTCAATCATTCCGAGTTCATGCCTTAAAGAAGAGAATCTTGCTTCACTTAAGGGTTTCGTGAGTATATCTGCAAGTTGATCATCAGTATTAACATACTCAAGAGATATGTCCTTTTTCTCGACATGATCACGAATGAAGTGATACTTGATGTCAATATGCTTTGTACGAGAGTGCAGCACGGGATTATTCGTAATGGCGATAGCACTCGTGTTATCGCATTTTATGCTCACTTTTCGTGCATTTATGCCATAATCTCTCAATTGGTGTCTCATCCATAGGATTTGAGCACAGCAGCTTCCAGCTGCTATGTATTCGACTTCAGCCGTACTTGTGGCAATAGAGTTTTGCTTTTTACTAAACCAAGACACAATTCGTCCTCTTAGGAACTGACAGGTTCCTGAGGTACTTTTTCGATCAATCCGACATCCAGCGAAATCAGCGTCTGAGTATCCCACTAGATCAAATGATCCATCTTTTGGATACCAGAGACCGACACTTTGCGTTCCCTTAAGATATCTTAATATCTTTTTAGTTGCGCTTAGGTGACTTTCTTTCGGCTTAGCTTGAAATCGTGCACATACACCAACAGCAAACGAAATGTCAGGTCTGCTTGCTGTCAGGTATAGGAGAGAACCAATAATACCTCGAAAGTTTGTTTGATCAACATCCTTTCCTTCATTATCAATGTCCATTCTGAGGGATGTGCTCATTGGAATTTTAACCGAGCTTTTTCCATCAATGCCAAATTTTCGGATTAAATCCTTGGTATATTTGGCTTGATTTATGAATATTCCATCTGGGCATTGTTTGACTTGCAAACCCAGAAAATAGTTCAGTTCACCCATCATACTCATCTCAAATTTGCCTTTCATAAGATTGGAGAACTTTTCACACAAAGTTGGATTCGTGCTTCCGAAGATAATGTCATCAACGTAGATTTGTACCAAAAGAATATGGTCATTATCT